CGCTGCTGCCTCTGCTCTCCAAAGGACCAGAGAGAGCCCCGAGCACCCCCGGGACGCGGCCGCTGCTCCAGCCCACCTGGGCACCCAGACTTCATTTAACATTTTTTATATTTCCTTTGCAATGATCCCTTGGGGCATTAACAAAATGGGTGTTTTAATCCCTCCCTGGCTTTCCCTCTGCTGCCCGAGGGATGTTCCCTGTGCTCCCGTGGGAAGCACAGGTCTGGCTCCCTGCCTGGGCGGGTGGCAGGCAGGGCTGGCTGTGGGGAGGAGCGGTACAGCCACCAGGCCAGTGTCCTGCTGGGTCACCAGCCCTGGGAGAGTGACAGGTTGTGACCACAGCCTGGCAGGACGAAAGGGCAGGGTGGGGGGTGAGGACACATCCATTGGGAAAGGCAAGAGGCAGGTCTGGGGGTGCCCTGCTCGAGTGGTGCTGCCTCATCTCCTGTCCCAGCCCCCACTGTTCCCCACTCCCTTCCTGGCACCCCTGGGCCAGGCAGAGCGAGGGGCCTGGGGGCCCTGCTGGGAGATGGGGTGTCTGGGGAGCAGCCCCAGCCCCTTCCCCGTCAGAGCACACATTCCTGTGAGAGGCAAACGGGGAATAAGAAGCAACTCAGAGATGAACTTTCCTGGGGCTGCCGAGGGATGTGGGTGCTGCTAGAGGGGAACTGAGGGGTCCTGACAGTGGGTCCAGCCCCGCTGGGATGTTGGGGGGAGCAGGTTTCCCCTCAGTGCTCCCTGGGGACTGTGCAGGTGGGTGTTTGCAGCACCCCAGCCTGCTCTGACCTGGCATCCAGGAGAGCTCCCACCTCTTCTGCCAGGACTCACCAGGCTGTGACCAGTCACTGTGATGGGGAGTGGGGATGGAAGGAGCTGCTGTGGCTCCTCCGCCCTCTCCCCAGTCCCACGCCGCTGGCAGGAGCCTGATTCTCCCCTAAAATGCCCCAGAGTCCCTGATGTTTGCAGAGGTGAGGTCAGTGTGGGTGGGGGGCCGTGCCCACCTTCGGGCATGCAAGGTCGAAGTGGCAACTCAGAGCAAAGCCAGAGCAGATCCAGGCTCCTCCAACCGGGTGCCTGGTCCCCAGAAGAGCTGGTTTTCCTGGTTTTGACCTTTTTTTTTTCTTTTTTGTAAATACCAACTGAAGCTAAGTTGCCTTAATTCACCAAGAGCACCAACCAAAGCTGCCTGAACATGCCCCATGCCAGCCCAGATCTGGCTCCGGCCAACCTGGCACGATGGGGTCTTATTGCTGGGACCAACTTCAGCCCCGTGGTGCAGGCAGCGTTTGGGGGGGGCAGGGCTCAGCACCCCGTTGCTGCCTGTCCCCCCGGGGCCGCGTGCTGGGGCTGGCAGGGGCGGTGCCCAT